TATGGTAGCATTTGCAGCTGTTTCCACCTGTTCGCCTGTCATCTCAGCAGTGTGCTCTACAATTTTTACATGATTTCCTGGGAAGAATCATTTTGTTTGCCCTCTGCTATAAATAGTCTTTCTCATAAGAGATCTTAGAGGATTCCAGTCCCCAACATTGAATAAAATGTCTCATGGTATTTTGCACTTTTTTTTTTTTGGCGGAACCGGGGATTGAACTCAGATCCTTGCATTTGCCAGTCAAGCGCTTATCCTACTGAGCCATCCCCCCGGCTCCCATATTTTGCACTTTTTTTGGTAGACTATGAAGTTATTTATGTCACACATGTTTCGGAGTAAAGCCATTTGCCAATGCTTTGTTTCTAGTGACACTATAGTTACTGCATAATGCAATAGACTCTGCTTCACCTTTAGTTCTGCCGTAGAAAGCTTCTACCTCAGGTTTACATTTTGCTGAGGATTCCCTGTGAATATTTCCATCATCATGTGGTATTGACATCAGCTCTAACAATTTGCCTGACAAATACGAGGTCAGTGTAAATCATTCTGACATATAAAGATTGTACTATATAATTCCCTGCTTTGAAATTACATTTCATTTGGAATTTCTGTTTCATTCCTATATACAGTTTCTGAGCTTGAAAAAATGTGCTCAGTTAGCAAATGTGACATCAACTGGAAACTGGCGAGCCAATTGTCAAATGTCACGATCTGATTTGTTTAGCGGATGGGAGCACCGGGTCTGTGCATGGTGTCATTAGGTTTCTTATATGTGAATAATGACCTGATCGCTGAGTTCCAGAACAAATTTCTAAATCTAAAGCTGCGTAGGTCTTCATATCTAGGAGGGCATAGATTTTTATGTCATACTTTGACCCATTACTCTTCCCTAAGTCTTTTATATCCTTGAAACCACCATGAGAAACCCCTGCTAAGTACAGCAGATCCATGACTGCTTTTAGCTCAGCTAGTGAGGTGTCATAATAAACATATATTTGAATGTGGCTATTGGCATGTACAGAACACATTGCTGGCATACCAGCTTTTGTGCATTTCACCGCTTTTTGGAGCTTTTCATCTGTTATCATTTCCAACACCAAATGGCAGTGCTGGCCTCTCTCTTCAATACATCTCACACCTACAAGGAGTCTCACTACATTCTTGATCTAGTTCTAACATTGGATTGTTACAGTTGGCATTGTGGGACATTTCAACTAGTCAAATAAGTACTCATGTAACTGTTTTTCTCATCCTTCAAATCAAGGAGTCGTGCATGCCTTGGGCCTGTGTCAGTGATTCTTGCTTCACTCCACTGTCACAGGAACTTTGGCTCCCATGGCCAAGTCCAAAGTCAACGTCATCATCCACTCATGCTACTCTGCTGTTTTGAAAACATGTACTTTTTGCACAATAGATTATATTCAGCATCCAGGGATGAGTAATATGATGATTCACATTCAACTTCCTCCAAACCTCACAAGTCTGGGTTTTCACGTACCATTGTATTGAATTGGGCTACTTCTACCAGAAAAACCAAAAGAAACCCTTAACAATAAAATCCTAGTGTGGTATGGGGGTACTATACATTCTGTGATGCTTAGGTAAACACACATGAAAACTGTTCCATGGAGCATCATCTGGGTGTAAATCCTGATTCGACTCTTCCACGCATGCACACACCTCGCCCTTCATCAGACTGCATGTGTGAACACCAGGATAGCTTCCTGTGTGCCTCAGGCAGAGGCACAGAGATGTGCCGCCAGCTGCGTTTATGCTGAGGTAGAAATTTACAGTAGAAAACTAAGGTTTGAGTTTGTGGCAAAGAGTGCTGTGCTTCAAGGGTTTTACCACTAGCTTTTCACCCAGCCAGCCTTGCTCTGCTCCATCTTTTCAAGCATCGACTTCTAGAAAAAGTGAAAAAAAAAAAAATTAAATGATCCTTTTATTCCTGCTTCCCTCAGTAGGCCTTGTTAAAAGGAGGGAATAATAACCACCCTGCACCATAAAGGCTGGATTGTCTTGAAATTTCCTCCATCAGGTACATTTTTTTCCAAGACCCTTAATGTCAGTCTCATGCAGTAACAGGACATAAGAAGAACATAGACGTTTTCTTATACACCTCAGCACATGTGGTCTAGAATCCAATAATGAAGTCGTTCATCCCGACGGAAATTTCCTGATACTTATATTTGCTGCCCGTCTTTGTATCAGCATTCTTGTCTTTCAAACTTTAATCAGAATCTCCAACCGAGCTTGGTTGACAGCATTTTATGGCTTTTCTAGCAACAGGCATCTTGAAACCTTTTCAAGCTCTTCCCACTTGCCAGTTCCAAAACTCTCTAAATCACAGGGAATAGCCCCACATCTGGTAATAAAAGTTTTCCTCATTGCTTTCCTCACCGTGGGACAAAATACTTGATTATTGCAAATTCAAACTGAGGTATATTTTGGCTCATGTTTCAATCCACAGACAGCTGGTTCCAAGACAAAACAGCATAACAAGGGGGGATGGTGAAGGAAAAGGTGTTTATTTCATAGCAGTCAGAAAGGAGAGGGTCAAGAGATGAACTGGAAAGGGAGATATGCCCTTCCATGTCATGCCTCCAGTGACCCACTCCTTGCAACAGGGTCCACCATTTTAGAGCCATTTAAGATAGCTCAGGAGGATAAGCAGCTGCCTGGCAAGTGCAAGGAACCAGGCCCGATCCCTGGGATAACACATCAGGCCTGCCCCAGAACCCCAGGCATGCTGTGCCAGCCACTAAAAGCAGGCATGGTGATGCACACATGTAATTGCAGTGCTGGAGAGAGTGAGACAGGAGGAGCACTACAACTTCAAGCTGCATCGCTAGACCCTGTACCAAATAAAATAAATAAAAGGTTGAAAAAAGAACAAATAAAATATAATGATTCCATAATCACATTATCTTTTGAAAGCCCCTTAGATAAGCTTATGAGGCTTTGGGTAAATAGATATATTTCAGCACGATAATATTTTAAAGTGGATTTTACTTAACTGTGAATTCGGCTTGCATGTGTTCAATATTGGAGTTTTAAACAATCATCATTTAATAAAGTATTTAAATTGAACTAATTCAGGACTGACTGGATAGCTCGGTGGACTAAAGCATCAGCTTAAGCAGGCACAGGGACCAGTGTCTGATCCCTGGCGAGCTGTGCGGGCCCTGACCCTGGTGCACACTGAGAGGGTGACTGAGGCTGGGTGTGGTGGTGTACACCTGTAATCCTGGCCCTTGGGAGGCTGGCAACAGGAGGCTCACTACAAATTCGATATGTATAGTGAGACCCCGTAGACCCTGTACTAAATACATAAAAGTATCTATAAAAGAAATTAAACTAATTCATTCACATAAACATTTGTCACATACTATTCATAGAATAAACACTTATGGTGTCACAACAGCACAAATGTCTTTCTTAAAGGCTTTTATGCTAGTAAAGGAAGCACGAAATTGCAAAACTAAGTTACAAGAAGAACATGCATACAATAGTGTATGAAGAGAAAACATTAAAATGGTCTCTGCTCTTTCTTCAACAGAGACTTCAAAGAAACTTACAGAAAAAAAATTACACAAAGAAGCATGAGTGTAGAAAATTTCCCATTGAAGTGAAGATATGCAAAGCATTACTGTATGTTTGGAATGGATAGTTCTCTCCACGGCAAGGACTTAGAAGTACTGAGAATGGCATCATGAGCTAATGATGGCGAAAGCATTTCCTACTGAGTCATGAAGCCTCTACCGACATCTTACACTGTGACTACACTTTTAAATATCATTTGTGGTATGGACAACCTTGACAAGTCTGGCTAATATTTTTAAGTTAATTGAAGATTGTTCTACAAAAGGTCTTCTGTAATCTCCGCAGTGTTAGGAGCTCTCCAGCGTATCATAATTCTGTCATTTGTACAGTGACATCACAAACACTATCTGCCTTGAAATGTGAAGAACTAACACTGTCTCTGCTTTCCTAAATTGCTTTCTGGATTATGAGCTTTGTGTATGAGATTCATATTCTACTCTAAAGTCTCTCTCATTAAAATAATTATGATCCGGTTTTAGATGATACACACATGTGCACATTTATTTGTGTAGATCACTCTTCGCATGTGTACATGTATTTGTAACACTATGTTTCGTTATGTCATGTTATGCCATGTATGTTATGTTATGTTATGTTATGTTATGTTATGTTATGTTATTTCAGAGAGGCTTTCACTCTGTGGTACCCTAATCTGGCCTCACACTCATAGTGATCCCTTTGCCTCAGCTTCCTGTGTGCTGAGATTACATGCATGTGCCACCACACCTGGTTAGTAACATTCATTTGTCACATTAAATATTCTTCAAAATTTTTTCAAATATCATGCATATTATGCAATACTGTATGAGCAATAGGGCCGGCCAAGTAGCTCAGTGGATTGAAGCGCCTACAAGCAGGTGAAGGGCCAGGGTTCAGTCCTCAGGCCTGCCATGCTGGCCCCACCCCTAGGGTACGCTGAGAAGGCAATTGAGACTGGGCATGGTGGCACACGCTTGTAATCCCAGCATTTGGGAGGCTGTAAACAGGCAGATCACTCCCAGTCTGATCTAGTAATGAGACTCTGAATACCCTGTAGACCCTTCCCTAAAAAATAAAAAAAAAAAATACTGTATGTGTAAAATCTCTACTAATGTATTAAGAAATGGTTATTTTTACAAATATTAAATTTTACTACTTGGTGCCATTACATGCTTTTTTATATTTGACTGATACACATAGAAATGAATATGTATAACATGGTGTCAGTTATCTTTCAAGGTCAAGAGTCAGTAGGTTGAGGGATTTCTTTACTTCTGATAAAGAAAATCAAAGATGAACAAAGGGTAAAAAGGAAAATAATTTGAGTTAAGAAAACATAGCATTGTACATTCAACCATTTTATCTATTTTGCATCAATACATAGTGGTGAAATCAAGTCAGAGGAAATGGGTACCTACTCTGTGGAAACCGTGGTGGGTTGTCGTTGACGTCAGTCAAGGTGATGTTGACCGTGGTTGATCCCGAAAGCCCTCCGACTTGTCCAGCCATGTCTTTGGCTTGAATGACCACGGAGTAGTGTTCTCTGGCTTCTCTGTCCATGTTGTGTAAAGCTGTTCTAATAACCCCTGTAAGATATATTTAAAAATCATTATGAAATTTATATTTAACATAAAGCAACTTGGTTCATTTTTGTTTTAAAAAATGTAATATTGGGCCGGGGAGATAGCGCAGTAGAATAAGCACTTGCCTAGCAAGCACAAGGGCATGAGTTCATTCCCCAGTTCCAACCAAAAAAAAAAAAAAAAAGAAAGAAAGAAAAAGAAAGAAAAGAAAGAAAGAAATGTAATTGTAAAAGCATACTTTTGAAAGAAGGCCATAAGGTGGCTGTAATAGCTCAGGTGGGAGAGCGTTAGGCTGAAAGCCATAATTCCAAGAAAAACAGGACATTAAACATGCTTGAAAACTTAATCATGGCGACATTTACGTGGAGCACCATGTGCTGAGTCACTCTTTGGTGACAGCATTGACATCCCCGCCTGCCTAAGTCGCTGCGTCAGAGGCCCTTTGTAGGCCGCTGTCTGCTCAGGCCCACTGTTCTTGCTGGCGCCGTGAGCCCTTCCCGTCCCTAGGACAGCCTCTGCGCGGACTCATCTCCCACGGCCCTACAAGCAGAAGTCAAGTTTCCCTTCCACAGAGCTATTTGCAATGCTCCCTCAAAGTGTTGTCAAAGTTGGATGACGGGTTTCAGTCAGAAAAAGTAACAAAAATTAAATCCATGTATATGATCAAAATAAAACGGTAACATTGATTCAAGAAATAACATGTGAAGATCATACTGCACATCTTATAATTCAAATGGAAGCATTCGATACACTTTTCATCATGGATCCTTCAACAGAATGATGAGATGAAAGCATTATATATCTATTTATTATCGATGCATAAACAATCTCTCTCCTAAGTCAAATATCTTTGCAATCAGAGGATTAAGTTGAAATACCAGAAACTTTTTCAAAAGGACTAAGTTTACCCAGAGGCTATGAACTGTCACAAGACACATAAAATTAGTCATGAAGATAGTAAATTATAAATATGTGTATCTGTGTGCTTATCTTTCTAATGTAAATATGTTAATTCCTTCAAATAT